AGACATGCACGCATGGGAACCAGAGGACTGCTTTCTGATGCTAGCTCTCTGTTCCCACCATCAAGAGGCTGCAAGGTGCTTCAGCAGGAAAAGACCTGGTACCAAGTATATCAGCCTAGTTAAATCCTGGAGTCCCCATGGTGGAAGGACACTGACTTCCTGATGTTAATCTCTTTTATTTTGGTTGTGAGCCTAGTCATTAAGAGGTAAGTCATATCACCAGTCCCATCATATTACGTTCTTAGACCACATACATATGCATCACATATAAGCACAGACAGACAAACACACACATACGTGCACATCACATAGAAGCATAGACAGTCAAGCACACACACAAAGACAGACTCCTTCTCTCTGGCTGGTACTCTCTCTCTCTCTCCCTCTCTCTCTCTCTCTCTCTCTCTGTCTCTCTCTCTCTCACACACACACATACCATACCCTGAATTAAAAATTTAAATTAAGTTTGTATATTTTCACAACTTTGTTTTTTAAAAACAAAATTAATGACCTACACAGGCTTGCCCACAGCAGGCTGCTCTTGGTAGCTATAAAACAGCCTTGGGTCTGCTCCTATCCAGACGGTCAGGCAGCATTATGGTGAGCAAATATATGGTTGGGTATGAAAGGTACAGATAGACAGACAGAGTTCATGTCCTACAGAGAGAGATGAATCTGAAATGGTAAAGGCTTTGAAGGCCATGTCAATGTGGGAGGTCTGCTTGCCACCCAGATATATGGTGTTATCAAGGCCTGGGCTCCTACCAAGGGCTAAGTCTGGGTCTGTGGTCACACCCACAGTCATAATTCATGTTGATGTCCATGGCCCCTGTTACCAACAAAGACCATGAGGATGTGCTTGGGTTAGGCTACCAGTGTGGCCATGTAGGTGTCCAAGAGCCAAAGCATGGTTTGCCATCAGGGGCCATGTATGGGTCCATTCTCCTACTGTAGCTAGGGTCTGTTTTGAGGGCCATGCTGCAGCTATGGTGATGCCAATCCCATTGTGCCTGCACTGTCACTGGGGCCATGGTGGCCTCTGGGACCAGGTTGCTTCTGAGGACCAAGTCAGTGTCTGTGACCTTACAGGAGCTGGGATCTATGTTACTGTCCATGGCCCATGTCACCACCAAGAGACACACACATGCCCAGGTTCTACATCACAACCTGTGGCTGTGGTAGGGACCAAGGGATGTGATGTAACCAAGGCCATGAAAATCTGGGTAGCCTGTCCTGCCACTAGTGACCATGGTGTCTACTGGAGGCCACATGTGGGTCCATGGCCTTACTATAAATGTTGATATCAGTGGCTTCTATTACTACTATTACTACTGAAAACTATGCAGATGCCCAGTTTACAGGCTAACACCTGAGGCCATGTTAGTGTTCAAGGGTCACTCTGCCACCAGGACTATACAGATTTGGGTAGACTGTGTTGTCACCCAGAGCCATGGAAATATCCAGGTCCAGGCTGCAGCCAAGGACCATATTGGAGTTCAAGGCCTTACTGCAGCCAGGGATATATTCATGTCTGTGGCTCTTATTACCACCAAAGGCAATACAGAAACCTGGGGTCTGGATGAAAATCTTGAGGCCATATTGTTGTCCAAAGGTCATACATCCACTGTGGACATTCATATATGAGCACCCTGCACAGCAGCATGGGGACACGTCTGTGTCAGTGACCCTGTGTTGATATACATGGCTCCTGGTATCATGAAAGGTCAGGTAGATGCCTGAGATCTGGGCTACCATCTGGGGTCATACTGCTGTCCATAGGACACCTTGCATCTGCAGCAATGTCAATGTGAGTGACCAGTACAGCCACCTAGGGTCATGGTGACACACAGGTCTAGGATGCTGCCAGAGACTATGTCTTGGTCCATGGTTCTACCACAACCTGGCTCTGTAGTGATGTCCATTGCCAATGTTGCCACCAAAGGCCACCAGAACCCCCTTTGTTTCTGGGCCACCACCTGTGGCCATTTTGGAATATGAGGGTGTCTGTCCATGTTTGAAAGGAGGAGTCAGGATTGAGGAAAGAAATAGATAAGAAACATAAGATAGAGTTGGGAGAGTATCCAGTAGATACTATGATCAGTCCCAAGTTTATTACTCAAATTTCTTATATACCGCAATCAAAGGAGTGGGGGGAGTCAAAAGACTTCCATGCAACGATACAAGAAACAAACAAACTTAATTATCTCCTTAATACCCAAAACATCAAGTTACCACACTCTAAACCAAATATCCTGTTTTTTAGGCAAGACATACAGCCGACACACCTTAGACCAAGAATCCTATGGTATAACCTTAAAGGAGCAATAGTAGGTTTGAACTTTCTGACCTAAAGTCAAGATGGAACAGAGTCACTACTGTGGGCCTCCACATGAGGGAAATGTCACTGATAGGACAATGCTAACCTCAGGAGCCTGCATTGCCACCTGTGGCCATGGCACCATCCAGGATGAAACTTCTGCCAAGGGCTATGTCTATGTCTATGGCCCTATCATGGCCAGAGTTTGCATTGATGTCTGAGGCTATGGTTACCACTAAAGTTAATGCAGATGTCCAGGCCTAACACATAATCCCATCTTGGTGTCCAAGGGTCATGCTGTCCTTGGGTCATGCATATTGGGGTGGCCTGAGATGACACCTAGGGCCATATTGATGTCTGGGCCAAGCTGTGGCTAGGGTTCAGTTCAGGATCTATGCCCCTGCTGCAGCCACATTATATGTTGGGGTCCATGGTTCCTGTTGCCATGGGGGACTGTGTGATTACCCAGCATCTGAACAACCACATGGAGCCTGGTTAGAGCCCCCAAACCATGCTGATATTAGGCCCATCAGGATCTGAGAGGCCTGCACTGATACCTGGGGCCTTGGGGACATCCAAACACAAGCTGTTGCAAATGATCATTTCTGAATCTGTGATCCTGAGGCAGCTGAGGTTGTGTGGATATCCATTGCCTGTGTTACCACAGGAGCCCATGGAAACCATGTCTTGGATTATGTGTTAAACCATGTGTTGAAGTAGAGTAATAGGTTCCTGCTGAGCTGATCCCTCACTGATCTGGAGTAACCTTCCTAACACCCCATCATTGGATAGCTGACCCTGAAGTTCCCTGGCCCTGGGATAACAGCCATGCTGGCCCAACCTCTAATAGAAGAGCTAGAACCACATTTGAGAAAACTCTTCCCTCCCCTTACCACAGGTCTAGAAATACTGGCTCTGCCCCCCATCAGAGAGGAGTGGTACCAGCGGCCTGGATGGAACAACACACCTGCCACTTAGGCGCACATCTAGGGCTTAGAGTTATCACACCTGAATATCTACCCTATCTATGATCTGCTGGAGTGTATGAAGCTTGTGATCCTGAAGAACCATAGAGGCAGGATCTACATGACAGGGGCAACAGGTTATCTAAGAGAAGATTCAGTGAGGGTCCAGTATTATTTTTTAATTTTTTAATTTAATTTAAATTAGAAACAAGTTTGCTTCCCATGTCAATCCCAGCCCCCTCTCCCTTCCCTCCTCTCCTGCCCCCCTTCAACCCGCCCCCAGCCCCTCCTCCAATCCCCACTCCACTCTCCAAGGAAGGTGAGTCCCTTTATGGGGGATCTTGAAAGTCTGTCATATGATCTGGAGCAGGGCCTAGGCCCTCCCCCATGTGTCCAGGCAGAAACAGCTTCCCTCCACATGGAATGGGCTCCCAAAGTCCATCTGGATGACAGAACTAAATGCTGATATATTGCCTGAGGCCCCAAAGGATCCTGAGGCCTCCTCGCTGACACCCACTTTCGGGGGGTCTGGATCAGTCCCATGCTGGCTGTTCAGCTATCCTTCAGCCACTTGATGAAGGCTCTAGGATGGCATACAATCACATTTTCAGGAAAGGGCATTTAGGGTAGCCTCTCCAGTACTGGTTAGGTTGCCAGCTGGTGTCATCCTTGTAGGCCTCTGGACATCTCACTAGTACCAGATCTCTCTTCAAACCTATAATGACTCCTCTATTACGGTTTCTCTCATCCTTCTCTCACATATTCTTACCCTTACTCAACTATCCTGCTCCCCCAGGACATAATCTTCTGAGGGGATTGGGAGCATGGGGGGTTAAGAAGCTGGGAGAAAGAAAGGGGGTGAAGAGGAGGGGAGAGTATCCAGTATTGATGGTGTAACAGAAACCAAAGGTCTTGAACCTGACAAACAGCACATTACACAACGAACATTTGCAATTAAAGCTGTTTGAACAAAAGGGTATACTGAATGATACACTGCTGATCCTAATGCTGTCAAGATGAATGAAGAGGTGGGAAAGATGAAAAAGCAGAGTATTTTTTCTTTTCTCTTCTTTTTTATTGTTGTTTGTTTTGATCTTATTTTTACTCTTTTTTTTTTGCTTTCCTTTGGCAGGAGACCTACAAGGGTGAGGGCTGGATACATAGGGACACAGAGGGACAGAGAAATGAGTGGGATTGGGGAGCATGATGCGAAATTCCCAAAGAATAAATAAAAATGAGAAGAGAAAAAATAATAAATAACAAATTATCATAAACTAAAGATATTTCAAATTCTGTAACAGCAAACTAATGTCCTCTTTTATAATATAATCTTCACTTTTATTAGATCTGATCTGCAAATATTTTAGTAAAACTTTTGCATTGTAGCTTCTAAATTTTAAACTCCAGTCATCCACTATTGTCTCTGCTAAGGAATAGGAAATTTTAACATTCTTCCGGATTGGCATCCTTGGTCTCCACAACACCACATCAGACTGACTACACCAGATTATGGATATATATAGCTTACTTAAATAGCGATACTTAATACACATAATTATGTATGTGTTATTCAGAGTATACCTAGTCAGTTAATAAAATAGCTGAATAGGTACATTTTGTTTTGTTTTTGTCTGTTTTCCCTAATGTTATTAACTGTCTTAGCTATTTGTGTACTTGCCATTAAACACTGCCTGACTTATGTCAACGTCTCCTTCAAGGTTCTACTGTATCTTCTGGAAGAAGTTGCCTGAACTTTTATTATTTTCTTCAATCAAAACAAGTGAGACAAAGACCCTCCTGCTTCCCCCTTCTCTGCCACCCCTACCTTTTATACCCACATTATAAATTATATATATAATTTATTTTTTGGTGTAATTTTGATATGATATGAGGGTTTTAATTCTACCCTCCTATGGTAGTACTAGGGATGAATTAATGGACAAAAATCTACTTTCCTTAATCTGTGGACATATCATTTGTCTGACAGCCTGTGGAGTTGCTATGGAAATTTTATTGAAATGTAATTCTTGACTCAATGACATTTATCATTCTCCTCTCTTTGCTTAATGGAAGCATTCCACATTTTAGCATAGTGATACATCTGCATGTGAACCTTGTGTTGGACACTAAAGGACCTTTTAATTTCAAAACATTTGTGTTTTCATTTGCAATTTTCAGTATCTCTGACCATTTCCTCTCCTTTTTTCTCTTTTACTTTCTATTCTTTCATTCCAGTATGAACTGAGCAGCTACATGGTCCCCAGTTTCTGAGGTATGCAGACAGGCATTCTTGAACTATCCAGTGTATGTCATACAAGCAAACCTAATCAATAGCCCTGTAATATGTAGTCATTCTAACAATCTGATCCCGAGAGCTCTGACTCTGTCAGAGCTAGGTAGTCACTAGGTAGCTAATCACAACCAAATATTGAGATCCATAAGGCAGTATTAGTAACACCAGCTTCAGTAACACTAAGAGCTAATAAACTTTAGCTTGTATTTCTCTACTATTCTAGAACTTCTATGACCAGCAGTGTTCAGTGTGCTTTGTCACGTTCTACAATTCCAGTTTCCAGTGGGCTTTTAATAGCCACCGTGTGAATAAATGAGGGATGAACTAATCAATACCTCACACATCTTCATTTTAAGCATGGAAAAGAAGAGTAATAAATAAAATTATGTATCATCATCACAACTCTCTCTGTCTTTGTCTTTCTCTCTGTCTCTGTCTCTCTGTCTCTGTCTCTGTCTCTCTCTCTCTCTCTCTCTCTCTCTGATTTTCATCAAACATGAACTTTGTCTTTTACTCACCAAGCCTCCATCCTTATTTCTTTCCCTTTTCCTTTTTTTTATTTTGTCTCTCTCCATCCTCACCCCCACTTACTTTTTCCTTTCTCCTTCTTAGCATACATAAAATTCCTCACCTGTTATTCCCATTAATGTCTACTGTAAATTAGCTGCTCTATAAATAACAGCAAAATAAAGAAATACTAATACAATACCTACTAGGAAAAAGAGAAGACAGTCTAGATTTGAGAATGTTATTTTTACTAGATATAGATTAGCAAAACTTGATCCATTTCTTCTAGGATTTAGACATGGTTTTCAGAGTACTATCTTAGGACATGTTTTAGTCTATTGCATGTGTGGTGGCAGAATGCATCTTTAATCAATGAATGAATTTTGATTTTGATTTTGGAAAATAGAATTATTCACCCACTTCCTTTGAGCTTCATGTTTTGTATATTGAAGTGAGCAAGCACCCACTCTGTACCCACCCACATATTTATCAGTCCGTTCATTCCATGTGGCAATCCCAACAGCTATATGTGAATTTACTTATGATAAGCAATGACAAAAAATGAAATCTGGGGAGCTTTAAAGTTGCTTGTACAATGTCTCAATACTGGAATCAGTATGCAAATTCAGCATTTTCTACCATGCTCACGTTCTTTCCACCACACCAGGCTCCCTCTCTTGACAGATTCTCTTGACAAAAAGCAATCTGGCTTCCTTGACTGAACTTCTCATCTACTCTTGCTTTGGCATAATTATGGTCTGAGTTTCTCAAACACCTGGACCGAAAAGTGTTGCCAAGTAACGCAAAAACAAAATTCTCCGTAATTTTCATAATACAGCAATGTTGATGCAGTCAGCAGCTGCTGCTTTACATGGGGTATATGAATAAAGCCAAAGGCATGGAAGCTGAGCCAAGAATGGGCAGCTCTGTTAGAGTTTAAGTCCTTCACAAGTCCATGATTAAAGAGGGTCCTTAGCCCCAGATCCTCTCTTAATGCAGTGTAGGCTGTCATGTGTGTGTTTGAGAAACATTTCCACTGGAGAAAACTTCCTCACTTTCAAAAACTGTGGCCCATTTTCTTTTACTTCAATTCTTCTTTTTATTGTATTTTTGGTGCTTCTGGTTTTCTCATATTTCCCGCCTATTTTTTTCTTTCCATTCCCATTGCCACTGTTAAATTCAGGTAAATTTTACCTCAACTTTCTTTTTTCTTTTTCTTTCTTTTTCTTTCTTTTTTTGTCTTTAAATAAGGCAAGCTGTAACTCATATATTCACTTTCAGTATATCTGCTTTTTTTAGTTTCCTAGTTTCCTGTTCCATCTGTAAGAAATTACCACCAACTCAGTGACTTAAGACAACAGAAATGCATTGTCTTCACAGTTGTAGGGGTCTGAAATCAGTAACGGCTATCACTGAGGAAAATATGAGATATTGATGGGACTGTGTTCCTCTTGAGGCTCTTGGGAGGGCATCACTCTTTCCTTCTCCTTTTAGCTTGTGACCATTCAAAATTCCTCATCAGTAAATTTAATAATGTGGAAAGAATTCATCAACATGTTGTCATTACTCTGGTTATTGTATGCCTTCTACTACTTCTGTAAAGACTTGTGATAGTGTTACACCTGGGTATCTGTAAAACTCATCATCCATGTCTTAATCAAGTCTATCAAGTTTCTTTTGCCAAATGAGGTACTATCCACTTACTCTGACAATTAGAATGGGCCTTTAGATCCATATGTCTCATTCAGCAATATACATTATTTCTTTAGTCAATTTACAAGGTAATAGAAATCAACTATATATCTTTCAGGTGAGGAATAGATAATAAGCTACCTATGTGCAAAGGAATCAGTAGTAAACAAAAATAAAATCATGAAAATTCCTGCTAAATAGATAGAATTTGAAAACAGACCCAGAAAAACACTCCATGCTCTCTTTTTATTTGTGTATCCTAGCTACAAATCTTTAGAGGTGAGCATATAACCTAGAGTACAAAAAACCAGGAAATTAAAAAGCTAAGACCCTATTGCTGAAGACACCACATAATTTGGACAGAAGACTTGGAGAAATTGAGTTGGAAGTAACCTGGAAGACTCCCTGCTGTGGACTAGCTCTCAGTACCTTAAATAGTATGTAAGTTTCCAAGAGAGAAAATGAATCAATAGTGCTATCCAACGACAACCCCTATGAATTACAACAATAACCTTAATAGCAAGATATTCCAAAAGGTGCAACAGTGGCACTTAGAATTTTATAACCATCTAATTGGACAATAGGCACATTCAGTGGGAGAGAATTCATGCCAGGTATTATATAATCCTACCCCACTCCTGGTAGTTGGTAAAGTCATGACCCTAGGAAAAACCTACTAGTGTCATTCACATAAACCAGTACAATTTCTAACTTCTATGAATACATATTCACATACCTGTATATGCTGCTCTGAATCCCCATCAAGGAAGCTTTTTGTATAGTATATAGACAGAAATCCGTAGCTGTCCAAAACCCAAAGAATAGCTCAACTATTCTGTGTCTAGTACCAGTTGATACATTTACAACACAAGTCACAAGGACCACTATAGCAGATGGGGTAGTAAGGCTGAAGAAGCCAGAAATCCAGGATGTGTACTGTTAGAGTGTCTTCTATTTATGACAGAGAAGCTGCACTCAAGATAATCTCAACATGGTTGTCTAAACCTGAATTTCTAAATGACAACCCCAATAGACATACTAACATGGTTGAGATAATTTTCACAAGTCTTCACCCCTAGATGAAAAGGTACTGGCAAATAACAGTTACTGAGAGAGGAAGAATCAGTTTCCTCCAGTGATGAGTCCCCTGATAGGTTATCTAGTCTCTAGAGTTCAGCTCTAAACACATATGAGCAACACAAAATGAAGTCAGCATTTGACATTCACAAATATGTATGTATACATGCATGTAACAGTAAAAGAAAATGAGAGATCATGAATTTTGGGAAGAATTGGAAGCATGGGAAAAGTTGGAGGAAGGAAAAATTGGAGAAAGGGGTGTGATATAAATACAATGTTAATTGATGAGACTTGCAAAAATATAAAAATATTCCTCATTCCTTCATCTAAAAAACAAAGAGGTTATCATTATTTTCATAGGCTATAAATAAGAATAACACAAATTATTCTACATCAGTGGTTCTCATCTTCCTAATGCTGTGACCCTTTAAAGCAGTTCTTCATGTTGTAGTGACCCCCAACCATAAAATTATTTTCATTGCTACTTCATAACTGTAATTTTGCTACTGTTATGAATCATTATGTAAATATCTGTGTTTTCTGGTGATCTTAGATGACCCCTGTAAAAGGATCATTCAACCATCAAAGGGGTCCTGACCCACAGGTTGAGAAACACTCTTCTAAATGAAACTGAAATTCAATAATTAAGAGCAATGTTACTGAACTTTAACAAACTGCTTGAAAAAAAACTAAATCCAATTGCACACATTCCATAAAGCTAAGGCTTCCTTATTTAGGTTCTTTCATATTTAAAATGTGACTATGATTTTAACTTTTCCCCTTTTATTATATCTAGACATAACTCTATTTGGTTATTAACAACACATTGACAGTTTCCAGTGTATTTTGGACTACTCACTAAAAGCTTCATCATGTCCCTATTAATTACCTTCAAGAATACAATGAAATTTACATCAGGAGTATTGCCTTCAAGTATTTTCCCAGGTGCTTAGCCCTGCTTCATCCTTAAAGTTAAATCTTAGAAGAAAGACGCTGTAACATATGGATGGTCTAGATGAACAAGTAATTTTGCTCCTTTGAATTAGAAAAGAGATAATCAAGAATAGAGGCAACTTTTGCAGCTACATTACAATCTTCCTTCCTTAACGATTATAAAGTGCCAAGATAACTTGGTACTCTGCATTCTAACATGTTTTAGCACATAGGGACATATACATCATGAAATGAATAAATAAAGCCCTCTTTGCATAGGTCATAGAATCAGGCACTTATCAAAATATTATTATCTAATGAACAACTTCGAATTATTGAACAATATGCCTTTGAACCCCCCCCACACACATGTCTACAAAGACACAGAAATTGCTCTTTTGATCTTGGCTAGCTTCACTTTTATGTAGGCAACAATCAGATTGTTTGCTATCAAGTTTGTTCTTGTCTGGGATGACAGTGGTGATTCACTCCACTCCCTATTTTGTTCATTCTCCAGGTTATCTGTATTTTGTTTTCAGTCTACAGAAAAGAGAGAGCTAGCATGTCCAATCACAAAAAAGTTATTTGAACCTTTGACTGTCTCTATTAGGCTGTAATAGTCAAACAGAAAAAGCTTTTGGCCAAAAGTGGGCAACGACTACAAGATTAGTGACCCAAGGAGGGATGAACCATTGAGAATCCCTCTATAATCTACAACATTGGCCATTGGAAAATCAAATGAAAACCAGACAAGAGTGAAACTTAGATCAGATGTTAAATTTATATGCTAGATGAGTAAGGTCAGTATAATAAAAACATCAGTAATGGGTTGTTTTAAAACATGTTTACACTCTTAACATGCAACGGTATCTTGAGGACATTGATAGAAACATGTAAGTAAGGATGGAAAGAACAATATCCATATATAGAGAGAACACAGGAGCTTGCCAACACACCCAATAATATGGGTTTGATGCTCAGAACACACATGGTAGAAGGAGAAAAACAGCTTTGGTTTTTTCCTCTGAGTGTGTGCATAGACACAA